TATTTAATGTAAAAAAATATTGCAACAAATTATTACTTGAAAACTCTTGCTATCATAGTCTATGATAGCATTAAATACTAATACTTGAAAACTCTTGCTATCAGAGTTTTCAAGTAATAATTTATTGCAATATTTTATATTTTATATAAGAAAAGAAAGATTAAATTTTTAAAGAAATTTGTGATTTGTTTGATTCTTTCAAATTATCTAACAAAAAGTTATTTGTAATTTTTTTAATTTATTTATTTATTCTAGTTTATATAGAAAAAATGAGCAACAACGACAAGGGCAAGACTTACAAAGATGTTAAGTCATACTTTAAAATAAACAACAATGAGGCACATTGAAATTTATGTACAAGAAAATTATTATGCAAAGGTTCAGCAACGATTCTCCAGTGAAAAATAGTGTTCTACAAAAATATGTAAAAGACCAAGAACAAAAAGAAATGGCTTTACTTCTAGACTGTAAAACACGGTGGAATACTATTGAAATAATAGTGAAACGGCTCTTAAAAATCAAAAACTGTGTGCAAATGGCATTAAGTGAATTAAATTTGAGCCATTTGTGGAAAGATTATTACATACAAATGGCCAAAATTCTATCAGCTGTATTAGAACCAACACAAATAACTGTAGAAGCTTTAAGTCGAGCTGAAATATTAACGGTCGAATGAGTCTTAAAATTTTTATTTTATAAATTAGAGGAAGAATGTAGAAAAAACCAATTAAGTAGAGAATTTTTATTTGAAATCTTTTTTGAAAACATTTTTAAGGTTTAAACTAAATCACTTAAAAATAAATTAAATCTTTAACACTTTCTTTAGCTTTTATTAAAATGGTATATTACTTTTATTAAAATGGTAACCATTTGTATGAAAATAAAATTGTCTTTTTCGTTCATATTTTTGATTATATTAAATAATCAGCCCAAATACTTATGTTTACATATATTGCTTTTTTTTTTTTTATTTTTTTATTAAACAACGCATTTTTTTTTTTTTTTTTGTATTTTTATAACTTTCATGATTTTCTGTCGTTTTTACTTTTTTATTTTTAAAATTATTCTGCTGGAAGATTGTTAGCAACAAATTATTTTCTTGCTGTAGTTTTTTTTTTTTTTTTTTTTTTTTTTTTTTTTTTTTTTTGTACTTTTTATACTGTCTTTTTGTCTTTCATCATTTATTGTGCATGTAAATTTTTGTGTGACGGGGCTCGGTGATTTCCGGAGCAAGAAAAAGAAAGGTGACAGCCTTTCTTTTTCTTGCTCCGGCCAGGATTTTCTTTTATTGTAATTTCTTTTTTGTAATATTTATCAACGGCAAAATGAATAATAAAATATATATATATATATATATATATATATATATATATATATATAAATATAAAAGAAGAAATAAGTAAAAGGAGAAATGATAATGTTGTAACTTTATACAAACCTTTACATAACCCAACAAATGATAAAAAAAAAAATGCTTCTTCTTTTTTTAAAGTTTCGTGAAAAAATTATATTTATAAAACTGCTGGAGAAATATTTGATACATTGTATGGGTCATCCGATTCCGGAAAGATCACTATTACTTGAAAAACAACTAAATTTAGCTATAACAACAAATGAAATTATATTAAGTTTTTGCCAGTTCTCTATTATGCCACACCAACGTTGCGATAATGATAACCAGAATCTTTATCAGACACTTAAAAAAGAATGCAGCATATTCGAAACAACTGCATCTTTTAGATTTTACAGATTTTGTGACTAAGGTCACAAAATCTGTAAAATCTAAAAGATGCATTATCTACAATAATACCAACTTAACGCAAAATGAACGTAATTTCTCAACTGCAAATGATTTTGTTATAAAAAAAAAGAAATACATGATCAAACACGATATTTAATGCATTATGTTTTTTAAAATATTTCTTCTAAATACTACTACTATTAATAATATAATAAAATACTACTACTATTAATAAATAAAAACTTGTTTTAAATTTTCTAAATTTAAATTTTAAAAAGGGTATTCTCTTGTTTACTAATGTTAATAAATTACAGAAAATTTTTAGGGATTTAGGGCGTTTGAATTGATATAATAGCTTTCTTAAATCACTTGCAAAAAAAAAAACCTTAAGCAAAAAAATTTATAACATTTAAAGATCTTGTTTGGACATAATACGTTGGCAAAACCAACCTAATTCCAAATAAATGTATTCGAATATTTTGTAAATTGCCTTACTCTCGAGTTCCAAATAAACGTCCCCCTCCCCTCCCCCCCCCCCCCGTTTGTTAATTTTTGATATTTTCCCCACCCAACCTAAGCTTATTTAGACCCCTTCCCTTTAATAATTTTTACTTGTTATTAACAAAAAAATTATATATCTTAAAAGTAAAAAAAAAAAAAAAAAGCAAGGACAAAACACTTGTGAAACAGAGCCGCTAGATGAAGGATATGAATTATTTGATTGTGAAAGTGAAACATTATTTATAAATCAACTTGATGAAGAGCATCAGACAGACGAGTAAAACGATGCTAATTTGGAAACAAGTGCTTTAGAAAATCAAGATAAAAACAATCGAGTTAATTTAAATACAGATAGTTTATCCAACATTTTATTAGGTGACTTACGTCAAGGCAATGATGATCTATTAAAAGTTAATAAATATTGATAATTAAACCTTTTTTAAAGTCGTTCATTTTCTATTGGTAAATTATTTTTGTACTTTACAGGGATTACATTCTCTCTCTGTTTACTAGAATTAGAAGAGGTTCCTTTTTTTTAAACAAAAAAACCCGCACATTTATTTTGAATATAAATTCCTCCTCCTACAATAAATCCAACCACCCCTCCCCCCCCCCCCCCCCGTTTATTAAATTTTTGAAAAAATTTCCCTCCCCCTTCCCCGTTTACTAGATTTTGAGTAAAGTTCCCACCCCTCGGCACTCGAGAGTAACTACACCGAGTACTAATACAAATTAAAAAAGTAAATTTTATTTTAAATAATCGAAAACAAATTTTTAAAAACTTGAGCAACAAAAAAAAAATTTAAACTTTTTTTATTTGTATACACTACATTGATGGTTGTAAGCTCAAAAACAGCAAGAATATTCTAATTTTTTTTATGTTCATATGTATGACGAAAAAGTTATTTAAAAAAAAAAAAATTACTGTGACAGAAGAATGGAAACGAGAAACCCTTAAATCTTAGCCCCCCTCCCCCAAACGCGTTGATGAAATATTTTTTGTGCTATTTTTAACTAGACTTATATTTATTCAAATTTACTATAAAATTTTAACTTTCATAATAAATTCGAATATTTTGTAAATTGCCTTAACCACACCGAGTACTAATACAAATTAAAATAAAAGTAAATTTGATTATAAATAATCGAAAACAAATTTTTAAAAATTTGAGCAAGAAAAAAATAAATAAATATTTTACATTTATATACACTACATCGATGGTTAAAAGCTCAAATGACATTAGTCCATATTTGACATTTTTCAAATTTAGATTACACATGGACATATATATATATATATATATATATATATATATATATATATATATATATATATATATATATATATATATATATATATATATATATATATATATATATATATATATGTATGTATAGAGTTATAATTTTTGAACGCTGAAACATTTTATTATGAAATTTAAAATTTATTGATGAATATAAGTCTAGTTAAAAGTAGTACAAAAAATATTTCATCAACTTGTTGCTGACCATATAAAGTTTAAACCTCCTCTAACTGAGGGGGGTTTAAACTTTATATGGTCAATATATTTGAATGCTGAAATATTTTACTATGAAATTTAAAATTTATTGATGAATATAAGTCTAGTTAAAAATAGTACAAAAAATATTTCATCAACTTTATATGGTCAAAATACTTGAATGCTGAAATATTTTACTATGAAATTTAAAATTTATTGATGAATATAAGTCTAGTTAAAAATAGTACAAAAAATATTTCATCAACTTATTGTTCTCACGATTGGGGCAGGGGAGCACAAACTTTGGGGCTTTTTTGTTCCCAAGCTCCAATCATCGCAATGTTTTGCAAAGCATCCTTATTTGACGTAAGTATAAACATATAAACGTTCAGAGTTTGCTCCATGTCTGGAAGTTAGATATCTCGAAGACCAAAAAAATGCTGAATATGGACCTGTATATATATATATATATATATATATATATATATATATATATATATATATATATATATATATATATATATATATATATATATATATATATATATACATACATACATATTAATAAAAATTGTTTTTCCATCAATAGGTTCATCAGGAAGCTTCCTGATGAACCTACTGATAGAGAAACAATTTGAAGACAAAAATTATTCTTATTTCTCTGTTCTTTAAGAACATTGAGCACTTTGTAGAATATACTATATTTTTTACTAAGGGCCTTCCACCAACCATTTAGCTATGTTTTTGTAAAATTTAAAGCTTTAATCTCAAATATTACTCAAGTTATTTATGTTCTTGTGACTTATATATATATATATATATATATATATATATATATATATATATATATATATATATATATATATATATATATATATATATATATATATATATATATATATATATATATATATATATATATATATATATATATATATACACACACACATAGATATATACATAGATATAGATATCATTTTGCATCTTTTGCATCTGCTACAAATTACAATGAAATAAAAGTCACTGGATATGCTCACTATTTTTACTTTTTTATAAATAAGTATGAAAAAATTTAATTTTCCATTACAATTTTAAAATTAAAATCAGTTAGAGATAAAAATCAAGAGAAAAATACATTTAAGAAAAAAAGAAAATAACAAGTAATAAAATTGTTTTAGTGAACAGAAATGTGAAGTACCTTACAAAGTATTTTATAGAAAATTACAGAAGATAAAGCTAGTGCAATGAAACTTATAGAATAAATTATGCGCTATATATATTTAAAAAGCGATAATTTATTATAATTATTTTTTTGCCAACTTTAAGACTAACTCTGCTAAATATTTAGGCAAATACTCTTCGTTAATGCCAGTATATCCTGGAAACTGATTGCAGTCAATTAATGCATAGTTTCCAGTTTCTTTTTCAACCAAGATATCCAACCCAAATAAATGAATATTACAAACCTCTTTAACTCTTTTAACAACTGCATTAACAACATTGAAATTTAACATGTTTGGATTTTCGTCAGAGGAAAGCCAAACTCTATCATTAGGGTTACTTTCATGAAGATCAGGTATAAAAGCTTTTCCAGTTTTTGATACATCTCTTGTATCAAAATAAAGAGTATCATTTTTCTGATCAGATTGATGAATATCTTTTATCGATGGCCTTTCACAAAAACTAATGTGATCACCTATAACAAATATTTTATAAATGATACCAGAGTGATTACAAAACTCTTGCAATAAACACGGCTTTGGAAGATTATTAAGATGATCCATTGAGAAAATCAGAACCATATTATGTGATCCTTGGTCCAAACTTGCAGAAAGTGGTTTTGCTAAAACTGGAAACTTCATAAAATTACTTGAAACCAGTTGTTTACATTCCTCTAAAGTTGAATTTTCAGGAATTTCTATTATTTTTGGAACAAATACTGTTATACCGTCAATCGTCATGCATGCTTGTTGTATAACATTTGTCATAAAATTTCTATCTGTCATTTTCATTGAAACATCAAAATCATCCAGAACAATCATATCAGGATACCTAGCAGCATACTCTCTAACTTTTGTAGTACGCTGTAATGCTTCCTCTGGAGAACATTCATTATAAAAGTCCTCTATTTTATGTAGTAAAACATCAAACGGACCAGTTTCAAAAAAATTATCATCATTAACATCAAGAACACTGACTTCAATATTTTTTTCTTTACAAATATTAAGCATTCTTTCAGGTAATTTAATCTTTTTCCTTTTATTAATAGGAATAATAACTCCGAGCTTGACTGCCATTTTTATTAAAAACAACTTCTGCTTTCCGTTGACCGGTGTAAAAAAATTATTAGAACCACAGTGCACTGCAGTTCTAATAATTTTTCAAACAGTGCTTCAGTATTTTTTAATTTTTTCTTCAGTATTACCAATAAGAAAGATCTAAACTTTTTAGATATGTTATATTTGAAAAAAAATTTTGATCAAAAACTCTAAATATAAGAGCCGTTCTAAAAAATGCGTTGCATTAACGAATGCATCGAAAAAGAGGGTTTATGCATGGGGATCATAAAAATGACATTCGGGTATGTTTTTTTTATTCATTTTCTTCAAATCAAGCTATAAACCAAATAAATCCACATTTCTAATTTTTGACATTTTTCATATCATCGTGGCGTTTTTAAGTTTCTGAGTTCAAGTAAACTTTATTTAATTTATTAGTTAACAAATCTCGTACTTGGGTTTTCAAAAAAAAACGTTTAACAAAATTTTTTTATATACGTTTTTAATAAATTTTTTTTTGCTGGATGTAATATTTACTAAATTGAATGTCTAAAAAGTATAAACTTTGCTTTTGAAACGAAAAAGATTTTTTGGAAATTTGGTTTTAACTGGGAGGTGTTGCATTACCGAAACTACACAGGTTGCATTACCGAACTTTCTGGTTTTCGCCTAAAAATGAGTTTGAAAGGTCTATTTTGCAATCATTTTTAAGTTATTATTTTAAGATAAAACTTATTTACTCTTTTTTATCCAAAAAATAAAATTGATGCAAATAATAATTATAAAATCGAACAGAAATCATTCAAAGTCTCAGAGGCGTGTTATAGGGCTTTCAGGGTAAAGAAACGGACAATTAATTAAAACAGGGAAAATCTTTCATTACAGAATATAAAACTTCATATTGAACGTTTATTAAATAAATTTTAAATAAATAAATAAAGCTTTTAATACAACGTTTATAGTTAACAAATGCGCTCATTTTGAATACACAAATAACGCTATTTTTGATTATTTCAAAATAAAAACTTTACAACAATCTTCTGACATCTTTTTTAAATCAAAGTAATAAATTTTTCAAGTATTTTTAAACTAATTTTGACTTTATGAAAAAAATACACACAGCAAATTGTTGTTTTAAACAATCTTCCCAGTAAAAATTTACAGCGGAATTTTAGTAGACTTTTATAGGCATTTTGAGAGTTTCCCACTTTTTTCCACTGTGAAAAGGCTCATTGGTTACATTGTGGACCACAATTGGCAGTCGTCATAATGGTTAGAGTTATTGGCTGCCCACTTTAAGCGAACCCCTTAAGAAACCTATGACCAAAACTCTAAATAGCTGCTTTTTAAGTCCACTTAACTCAAAATGCTTATATAAGTCCACTGCAAATCCACTATAAAATAATTGCTGGATTTATAAAAATATAATTGGGTATCATTTTCACAGATTTTTATAAAAATACAGTTATTCATAGTTTGTTCATATATAAAAGTTCAAAAGTGTTTCATTAATTAAGTTTATAGCCTTAACCAGAGAGACTGATATTATCCTATTTAGTAAAGTAGTGGGTTTTGACCATTGTTTTATTATTTTTTATAAAAAATTGTATATACCAATTAAAAAAAAATCATGATTATTATCATTAAGTACATATCTTATTTAAGGTAATTGATCATAAGTTTGAGAATCATAGTTTTTTGCATAGATGCTTTAAATGCAAAGGAAAATTACCATTTTAATGTGGTCTTGTCGACGACACCCTCTAACACAAATTTTTGAAAACTTTATTTTGCAGCAATTTTATTGGTTATAACTAAATTTTTAAAAATCCTGATAACATTTTTTTATTGCAAAATTTATATAAATTGAACAGAAGAGAATGGACACTAGATTACGTAAGGTACAAACTTATAAAGGAATAAACACACCATTACATGAAACCATTACAGAAAGTTAACTTAATCTTTAATCAATTATATGCAGGACTTCTTTAGCCCAGCAATAAGAAACAATCTTAACAATTTGTATGATATAAAAATAGCTGTTTAGGCGGTTTTGTTTTGTTTTACAGATTTTGACGACAAGGAATGTCAGCACCGTATTTACCCAAGAGAAACTGAGACTTGGTGCAAATATCATTTAGAGAAAGTTCATGGTGAAAATGATTATGTAGAGCAAGTAAATATTTTTGTTTCAGTCGTCAACATTTTGAAACTAACTTTTACTGATTTATCTTCAGATAATTTACTAAAACACCAACGAGACACTGAGCCAGATTATATGAAGACGCTGCCCAAAACGTGGGTAGGGGGGTTTTGTGGGTAGAGGGGTCTTTGAGTCTGCAGTTAAATCGTCTGAGATTGAATTTTATGAAGATCTTAATGGAATCTTATTTGCACTTAATAAATTTTAACTAAAAGGATATGTAACGTCTATGAAACTTAATGAAAAGAATAAAGAAGCTATAAAGCAGTCTCTTCAATAGTCCACTGAACGTGTCAAAAAGAGAGAAAAATAGCTAAAAACAATTAAAAAGGCTGAGTTAGACAAAGATGCTAAAGAAAAGGCTTAGTTAGGCAAAGGTAATAAAGAAAAAATTCAAAATATATTCCTGGAGGGTTTTAAAATGTTTATATGAACTTTTTATTATGGCTTTATTCTTTTGTTTTACATATTTGTCGTTTCCTCAGAACTAAGTTTTGCCTCGAATACATTTCTTTAAAATATGATTAACTTCAAACTCGTTTAAGCTTTGATCTCTTTTTTTTTTTGCGATTTTTTACATAATTAAAAAGGATCCGGATGAGAGAAGGATATTTAAAACAAAATAAGGGAAGTACTTTTTTATGAAAAAAATTGCTGGACGAATGTTTAGCAATTTTTCTATGTTTGTTTCAAATGTTGTAACCTTTTATATATTGTAAATGATAAAAAATGCTTCACTTATCTGGATTAATATACCTCATTAATATATAAACCGATTTTCAGCTTGATATGATAAATACTTTGATTGCTAGCTCGTCACAAATATTGCTAGTTTTTTCACTCTTATTTTAAATAACTGGGTAATTGAGCCATTTTTTTTAAGTTGATTTGTTAAAATAGCTTATAGAACCAGATTTTTGGTGAAAAATATAAATCAAAAAAGTTTTTCTATCAAAAGTTTGCCTTTTTTGTGGAGGACCACCTTTAGCTTAAGAAAAATTTAAAATTTATTTAAAATCCATACTTCAAAACAAAAACTTTTACCATGTAAAAGAAAAGCTGTTTATTTACAGTTTTAAGAATTGAATAATGTTATTTAGAATTGAGTAGTATTATTTGGAAAAAGTGCCTTAAACTTGTAATTGTGTTAAAGAAAGTATTAGAACTAAGTGTATTTTTATCCAAAAATAAATTTAATAATGGATTTATTAGAATGGAATCTTTTTTGGGGCACGTCATATTATTTTGACCTACATGACCCAGTATAAACAGGGTTAAGTTGTACTAGAAAAAAGATTTTTTATTTAATGATCTTATCATCTTGAGACGAACGTTTTTTGTTTTTATAAAAGTTGATGTGCTTTTCTTTATATATTAAACATTAAAACGGCGCTATCTGGAAATTTGAACAGATTACAAATTATTTATGCACCTTCAACGGCCATCTCATTAAGTCCAAAAAATTAAAAGAGTATCCATAGCTTTTATATATAGGAAAGACAAAGCAAGATATAAAACGTTTTAAAAATCTTGGGTTATTGCAAATCTTAGACCAATGAAGCAGTAATATTTTGTCAGTATGCTTGTTTTATCATAATGATTCATTGCTTCCTTAAGTTTTGAGTTTGCAATTAAAAAAATTGCACGATAATAGAGCAAAATAAATTTGCATAAAAAAAACCTACAAAATTACACCCATAAAATACCACACATTGGCATTTACCCTAAAGCAATTTTATCTTTTAAGCGTGAAAAACAATAACTTACGAGTGTATAAATACTTGAACAATATTTAAAAAAGCAAAAACTTGTATTTTAAAGCACAAGCTATATATACAGATTTGTTTCCACTCAATTTTTATTTTTAGACCTATTTCGTCATACTCTTGTTTTTTTTCAAAACTATTTGTTATTTAACTGACAGATTTTTAACGGTACCATACCTAATGATACGAAGCATATTACGAGAATCTTTTGTATGCTTCCAAGTAGATTTAATTTATTCTTTAAAATACCTGGACCCAATAATAGAGCAATTTTTTAAATGTAAATCATTTTCTATGTCAAAAGCTATTTTTTGTAAAAAAATTTGTTTTATTAGGATGTTCTCAGAAGTTCTAACCGTCTAATCACCAGAAGTCTTTAGCATTCTTAAGGACTTCTGATGATAAGACAGTTAAAAGATTAGTTGAAAAGTTTATACCATCAATACCAAACAAAACTAAAAAAGAAAGAAAAACTCTAGATCTAAAGATAAATCAATTAAGTGATAATGATTGCTAATTAATTCCGCTCTAATCTATGTATATGTATATATATACACACACACACACACACACACACACACACACACACACACACACACACACACACACACACACACACACACACATATATATATATATATATATATATATATATATATATTTATATATATATGTATATATATATATATATATATATATAATATATATATATATATATATATATATATATATATATATATATATATATATCCTTTAAAAAAACATAATTTTAAATGCAACTAACATTCAACTTAAAGCTGACAATCCTACAATTGTAGATTGCATGAGAAATTTCAATTTAATATTTTGATAAGTTTTAATAGTTCGTTACACTTAATTGAATTTTTTATTAGTTGAATTTTTTAATAGTTCGTTACACTTAATTAAATTTTGTAAAAAAGTTCAATTAAAAAAATCAACCATCTTTGTTTTAAATTAGTAATCTAGCTAACATATAAAATTTTTTAAACTATAATATACAAGTGCGTGTAAATGCAATTTGACAAACTTTTTCAATAGTAACATATATACAATATT